TTATTTGTGCATCTAAACATTTTTAATAGCAAATCGCATGATCCATCCGAGAACAGTTCCAGTTGCCTGCTCGAAGTCCAAATCAAAATCCCACCCAGCGTGGGTGATTTTTGATTTTAATGATACACGGGGCAAGTATTTTTTGAGTTATTGCACATAGTGCACACAGTGCGTAATAAAAATCCTTGTCCCGGTCTCTCGATGTGTGCCATAGTGTAGTTTTTATTGTTTCTCTGACGATTTAATTAAATTTCTAAAGCGTGCCGCCAGTCGCTGTTGATGTTGATGCTGTTAGTTGGCCATTTAGTTGCAGCTTTTATTTGTTTGCTTTAGGCGCGTCGTCATCCCCGTCGCCCTCTTAATTCCATTCGATTCGTAGACCCATTCCAGTTTTAGCCTTAGCTCTAATAGGATTTCACACGTTTTCCCCTGTCGTCGGCAGGGCGTTTTATTTTTAGTGCCGCAATCAAAAGTTTTGCAAATGTTTATGCACATTCTTTGGTGACCACAAGTCTTTGGCAATTTGTTTGTTATTCCTGTTGCTTTTGCCATTATTTTGGTTTATGATGGAATCAGATTTGGATATACCTATGCAGTTTCTAGTATTTTTAATATTTTTTCAAGAAATTTGATGATTTTATATTCCAAGTATAAGGTCTGAAAATGTTTAATACCAGTAGTAATTGTAAAATGTTTTAAAATATTTAAATCAATCCTAAAATGTATGTATCTAATTATTTTTATCAGTAATAAAATGAAAGCCTTTCGGAAAGACCCGCTTTTTTTCCCTGTCCGTCAAATTTTCTAGCTATTTTTGTACATATTGAATTATACCCACTTATAGTATTAGCATATCAGCACCAGATTTGATCGTTTTTCGCTCTTTAGCAGACATGGCCATATAATTCATAGAGCCACACACGTTTCTTCATTAAATTCCACGTGTTTATTTGTTTAAACTAACCTTTTATGGGGCAGTGGCGCTACATCTAGCCGCAGACACACACACACATACACATCGGGGCGTCGGGGTTATCTATCACATCGGTCTATATAGTCGCCTCTGCTGCTGACAGCTAATTGAATTTGAATGGTGCGAACAAAATTTACAGAAAATATAAACAAAACTTTCTTGTTCTCGTTGTTGTCGTTTTGTGTGTAGCATAATTTTATGAGTTGTTTATTTCGTTAAACAAGAATAACCTTAACTTGTTATGGCACATTTTTATTGTCGCTTGTTTATGAATAAAAACAAAAGGCAAAACAGAAAAAGAACAGAATGAAGAAAAGCTGAAATACATGCACAAAAGCTAAAGCCTTTTATTTTGGTATTCAAAATAATTGTGGTCAGACGAATTCACGATCCGGGCGTTAAAAATCTATAAACGAATGTCGGCACTGCACGAAGCTGACTGAGAATTTCCCTCTACCCTATAAGGAGTTGAAGGGTATACTTGAAAATATGGTAATAGATATTTACAAGTTGAGATTATTTAAGTCAATTATATTTTCTAATTTTCATCTAATAGGTCTGGTTTATTAATGATTAGAGTTAGTGCATTGCTAACTCTCAAATGTTATTTACAATCTGGTGAAATATAGGAAAAATTTATGAGTTCCGGTTAATTTTGAAAGAAAAACATACAGAGTATTTACAATTCTTTAGCTATATCCATAAGAATTATGTTACGAACTTCTCCCACAAGACTCATACGATGTTGTGGCGCCACTTGGCCATGGTCCAAGTCAATGATCGTCATCTGTAAATCATTTTGTGTGACAACCCGCTGACAATTGGACGAGAACGATCTTCGGGACGAACTGCAGGAGGAGACAGCTCAATTCGGATGGCCTGTTGGCTCAGGTTCTCTAACGAAGTCCCTTAACGACGACTGCCTTATGCGGACTCATATACGGACATAAAGTCGCGTGGCTTATTTAAAATTAACAAAGCAATAAAAATGCAAACTCAAGGCAAGCAGAGCGATAACAATGTGGGAGAAAAAGGAGAACGAGACCTGGAATGGCCTGCAGTAAAATGAGTTCATTGTGGGGATAACCCAAATTGAGAGGCCCGCTGCCTGAGATACTTAGTCATTCTAATCCCGAATTGAGAGGGCAAAAAAAACTTAAGCAACTTTCCGCAGAAATCTTTATCGACCCAGCAGCTTATCATATCGGGGGCTAACAAACCCAAATCCCTGACCAGTCCACATGCATTTTCTTATCGCTGTCATCGCTTTTTCGACCTGGCCAAAACAATGCAACGCGCAATCAGCGACACTTCATCGGCCACCAAAAAAATAACCAAACCGAATAGGGGAGTGGGGAAAATGGAACCACAGCACAGCAAATAAACAAAAGGACACAGCGCGTAATGAGGGCGAAAATATCTTTATTTAAAGAGCCAGAGACTGGCTTCCTTGGAAGACAACAGAAGTCTCTGTGACTCCGAGTTGGAGTCCCTGGTGCAAGGCAGCATATTTGTCATTCGCAGGGAGCTTCAGGCGGCGATATGGCCCGGGGCAATAATCATGAACAGATCTTGTAGACGCCGCCATGGACCAAATGCTCCTTAATTAGATGAGGCGACAAGCCAAAAACCAGGAGCTGGCCTGCAGCTCTGTCCTCGTCCTCGTCCTCTGCCTAGGAGCACTTGGAACACGATTAACGATACATTCAAAATGCTACACTTAAGAAAATGGCTTTTTAAATGATTACAATTGTCTAAGGAATTTAATTTAAAACATTAGGAGAAGTCATAAAATATAATTTTAGTATGAATCAAAAGGGTAGTCGGTAAGTTATGTTGCTTTTTCGTGAAACCATATTGAAATTCAAGCAGATACTCTAAACGAGTTAAAAAATAATATTTTTGTTTGGAATATTTTTGATTGATTAGTTTAGATGGCTCAGAAACCTAACAATTTTATTAACCAAAAATAAAGAAATTTAATATTATTAAGCAAATTTAAAATGTTACAAGTAAATCTTGAAAACTTGTATGTATTATATTTGAATATAATAATATAATAATATTATACAAAACGTTGAAACCATTTAGGTTTATTCTTTATCATTTAATAAACCATGTATCTAATGTTAAATTAAAATGTTCTTTATTTGTCTCTTATTACACTCAATATTTTTTCGAGTGCGTTTTGTATTAGGTTCTGTTTTGGGATATATTATTGAACGGTGGCCAAAACAATGCCGTGTTTACAACTTGTACGCTATGCAAGTGGCATGCTCATGCCCACTCCCTTCCCGTCCACCAACTATTCCATATAGCCAAGCCAAACCCATGCCCTTTAGGCCCTTAAGTCGAGGTCTGGGAAGTCGCTCCACGCTGTCGAAGTCTCGACTTCTGCCACTAATGGCATATTTTGCATTCCAATAAGGCTTTGCGCCAATTGCAAATAATTTCCGAGTGTATAGTCAGCTTAATAAGATCACGATTCCCAGATAAGCCGCCTAGATACCAACTAGGACTTCCACAAGGCTCCAAGGGTTTGAATATAGTTAACAGGGGTTAGGGTAAGTGTGGGAGATTCACAAACACAGCATATTCATAAGTAGGAAATTCCCCAGTTGGCCAGAGATTATTAGATAAGTATAGAAGGCATTTTAAGGTATTTAAACTCGATATTACTGATGCAAAATGATTATGTCTTGAATTTCTTTAAAAGTTTAGAATTCTAACTCATTAATTTTTTGTTTTTAGTTATATTGTTATTAAAAGATTTTATAAAATGAACTATTTTTTATTTGTTTTTTATTTAACTACTGCTTAGAAATATTTCTTAAAAACGTTAGTGAATAAAACCATATATTACAAATAAATTCTTTTCATATCCCAATACAGTTTTTGTACTACATAAAATATAAGTTCTTTATTTTGTTTTCATAAATTTTATTTATTAAAATTTTTTTATATTTGATAATATATCTTTATTAATTTTGTAGAATTTATATTTGACTTAATTTAAAGAAGTAAATTGTGAGGGTCCAATAGGAGAGTATTCCCAAGTCACTGGTCGCTTTAAATTTGCCCAAGAAACAATAAGTTAATTTAGTTGTCTTACATCGTGTCGTTGTCGTCGCCAGTCGAGGCAGTCGGTCCAGACACCCCCGATCCAGGTCCTTGCGGCCACAGTTCACTGTAGTGGCAACCTTTGCATGGTGGTATGTCAGCAATTCTGTAAACTGGGGACATACGGTCCACGGGGGAAGTCCAGCCATGGCGGAGTACGCATATGGATCGCGGATCGGGCTTTTGCAGTCGCGTATGTAGCGCCAATTACACAAAGCCAAGTTAAGCAGTTTCAACCATACGGCTCTGTGTGGCGAAATCTGTAAATCTGAGCTGGGGCACAAAAAGAGAGGAAAATCGGCAAAGAAAAAAAACACCGCAAAATGCCATTTGACCAAGATGGGTTCGAGATGATAAAGCGACCGATTCGCCCAGACGTGGGCGCCAAACAATTCAATGCAAAAGGGGCAATTAAACCAACGAGTAGGCAACCGATACACAGAGGAAAAATCTAGTATTTCAGCTGATATCCAAAATTTTGTGGTAAATTATAATAGTTGCTACTGCTCACATCAACTCTGATAATAATTATTAATTTTATCTTTTAGGTATCAAGGTATCAAGCATAATACATTATAAAAACGATTTTCAATAAATACATTAAACATACTTGAAAAATATTTATGCAAAGAATTTGAAACTGGCAAACCATCAAAGGTTTCAAAAGATTTCAGGATATTTCTGAAATATAAATAAGTAATAACTGATATTAAATACTGACATATTGAATAACCAAAAAAAAGAATCATATATTATTTAAGAAAATTAAAAATCCGTGTGTAGATTTTTTCTTGTGTCACTAAGTAAGCTCTGTACCTTGTTACCTATTTTTCCTCTCTGTATATTTTCTTCCCCTTATTCACCTCCTCCTTTGAGGACCAAGCCCATCGAATTAATTTGCGGCGCATTTTAGTTTACAACTTTGTAATTAATTTGCAAAAAGGGACAGACACAGAAGGAGGCCTTAAGCCACCGATCGAGTGACATTTGTTCCCTTCCACCTCCACTTCCCCAATTTTCCCACTGACATTTGCGTGCTGTTGATGTCTTTATGGTTGGGAAATGGTTTAGAGAAGTCGGTACTTGATGGCACGCAGCATGGGGAAGCGATCATTGGTGCATTGACCACGGAAATCATCTTGGGTTAGATCGAAGAGAGCCACTCCTCCCAGATTCCTGTCCTTGGCATATTTGGCTTTGCTGGCTGCCGAATCCGGATCCTCGTAGCTGATCCACAGGCCGTGATCTCCGTTCTCATCGGCGGCACGGAAGGCGTAGCTGCCATACCGTTTCGTGGGATCTATAACCCTCTTTACCGGAGCACCGGGTCCTCTGGCATTTATGTTACTGGGATTCGGCATCAGCTGGCAAATCTCAGCCCAGTTGAGAGAGCCCTCCTTTTTGCTCTGAGGTCCTGCGGGGGCAGGTCCTTGGGTAGCTGTAACCACTGGCATTCCAGAGTCTCCCGAATCCTTGCTCAATTTCCAGGACTTGCCATAGGTGGCAATGCCAATATGCAGCTTATTAGCAGGAACTCTCTGGAGCAGCCAGTGTTCCAATTGGAAGTTGACATTGTAGTGGCCCAAGCGATTCTGACCAACGGTCTCGTACATTGGCGCCGAAAAGTCCGCCTCCTCGGGATTACGTTGCGGGGTCAGGAAGTCAAAGGTTCCCAGGTTGATGATGTCCAAGCTGGGCGCAATCGAGGGGGCATCATAGTACCCTAGCAAAAAAAATTATTTAATTAATTTGGTGCAAAATCTAGAAAATTTGATTTGATTTTTGTATTTATTTTGGTTTTTACGATATGTTGCATTTCATGATTTATCTTTGAAGCCATACTATTGACGTAAGAAATGTATCTTATATTTTTAAAGAAAATTTGAAATGGTTTTTATATCCATCAATTTAAATGTATTCTATAAATAAAAAGTTGACCTTTTTTAAATACTAGAAAAAAACAAATATAATACTAATAATAACTAGTAGAAGAAATAAATAAATTGGAGAAAGTCATATAAAGTGACTTAAACAGTTTCTAATATATATTACTCGTAAACTGCTATCTAAATAAGCAAGATAATGTATTATCCATTAAGCAAGAAACAGCTGATTAAAATAGTAAATAGTTGTACATCAATTAAACAATGTTTGTGTTAGCAGTGGGTTTTATCGAAACACGGTGACGCAAAAAAACACTTTTCTGACTCATCTAATTACACCAGTTAGTCTGTGTAATTAAAGTAATTGTTTGCTTTTTTTGTATACTTACAGCTTGAGTTAACATTTGGCAAAACGGTGAGACTCAGCAACAGATCATTTTGATTCAAAGCGGCCTTCAAGTCCTTGATCAGGGATGTCAGTTGTCCTTTGTGTGTCTCCGATTCAGTGTCCACAATAAAATCACCAGTGAAGAACTTCTTGAAACTCTTCCAGGCAGAACCAACATCGCCGTGCACTTTGCGTGGCTTATTCCTTGGAAGTTGGAGGGCCAAGTCCAGTCCATCGAAATTATAACGCCTCACAATATCCCGAGCGGATTCGATGAAGCGCTTGTGACCCTGCTGTCCCGATTCCAAAAGTTTTATATACTGGTTTCCATCGTTTAGATCTGCATCACCACCCACACTCAACAGGAATTTGATGTGGGGATAGCGTTCTTTTAAACTGGACACTTGAGCCAGATGACGCTGCTCGAGGTCCAATCGCTTGTTTATACTCTGCATTTCGAAATTATCGGCATTAACACCCGCATAGCCGTATATCAAATGGGTGCAAAATTGCAGGGCCAGCTCCATATCCGTCATCGAGAACTGAGCCAGGCCTAGTTAGGGGTTTACATATTTAGTAAGATTTATAAATGAAATAATTAACAAATCGAAAAACTCACCCTGACGCTGAAAGCCCTCGGAGTCATAGAAGCAAACCAGATTAGAGGCGGCGTTCACTTGGAATTGAGCGAATATCGCCAGACTCAGTACCAAACTGAGCCACAGAGAGCCAGTCATCTTTTTTAGAGCGATAAACCCAGAGAGCTATACGCAGTCAAAATAATAAAAATAGAGACTACCTTGGGAGGTATTATTTGTAACAGTCCGTCGCCGGCGAGATGCGAATACAAACTGAATTCGAAATGACACTAAGCACTGTGAATTGGAATAAATATGGGCAGGGGAGCTTTTCAGTTGAATTGCCTCCGCCCGATTCCCCGTAACGAAAACGAACTGAAAACCCCGGACGAACAATAGCAAAATCCAACTCGCGGGGCTTATTATCAACAACGAAATTCAACGAAATTGTTTGTCTTAAGTGGCATCTGACATCGAGTTCAATGAGATCACTTCTTGTCTCGGTAATTTACACAAAAAAAGTAACAGATACTACGCCTTTCTTGAGATAATGCCCGCCAACTCATAGTTTAAATAGGCTAAATCTCTGGCTATTTATGGGTGCACCTAGTGATAAGTCTGCACTTTTTAAGGTGTGGGCGAATTAGCAAGGTTGTTTTCCATCGTTACTCATGCCCAAAAAATGAAAATATTTAACTTAAAAATGGTTAAGGCATTACGGAGAATTTACTATATTTATAGGCGGATTATTAATGATGTGATTTCAAGGTCCATTAAAAGTAGGCACTTAGCGAGCAAGTGCAAAGTAAACAACGGTTAAGAGAAATGTTGGAGAAGATAAATTACACTAAAAAGCTCTCGACTAAAACGTTAAAAACATTAAAAACCCTATAAAAGCTGTGGAAATGTTTGAAACTAACATACATTTACACTGTACAATCCATATAATAAAATGCCTAATCAGAAAAAAAGACAGTCGCATAAATTGTATAGTGATAAGAAATTTGAATTTATTTTGGTAAAGCACATATATATAATATGAATATTTTTAATAACTAATATATATGAACATATAAAAGAAAAACTTCTTTGATGCAAGTGAGCATTGTTTATTTAAAACTTTTTTTCCGCATAAAGGTTATTTTTATGTTTATTTATAGGCGATATTTAATGGCCCGCAGGATTGGATACTTGTCAGCTGTGCACTGTCCCCGAAAATCATCGTAGCTCAAATCGAACAGTGCCACGCCCCCCAGGTTCTTGACACGGACGTATGAAGCCTTGTTGGACGCCGCATCGGGATCATCGTAGCTCACCCAAAGACCTTCGGTAATTTGACCATCTTCAGGGCGATAAGCGATACCACCGAATTTCTTCGTGGGATCAGCAATCCTTCTCAGTGGCGAATCGTTACCCTTAAGGTATTGATTGTTGGGATTGCTCAACTTTCCGCAGATTTCGGCATAGCTCAGTAGTCCAGGCTTCTGCGATTGGAAACCCTCAGGAGCAGCTCCTTTGGTCGCGGGCACCACTGGAACTCCGTCGAGACCGGAATCGCGGGTCAGTTTCCAGGCATTTCCGTAGGTAGCCACTCCCAGATTCAGCTTAGTCGATGGGAATCCCTGTTTTAGCCAATAATCCACTTGGAAATCAGCGTTGAGATGGACCAACCGATCCTTTGATGCATCGGGATGGTAAATGGGAGCGCTATAATCCGCCTCATCGGGATTACGAGCCGGAGTCAGGAAATCAAAGGCAGCCAGATTCACAAAGTCCACCAAACCATTGAGAGCGGGAATGTCAAAGTACCCTGAATTTGAACGTATTATAACTAATAAATAAGAAATTTTAAGATTTTTTAAGTACTTACAAGTAGAGTTTACATTGGGAAGGACAGTCAAACTAAGCAGGAATCCATCGGCACGTAGAGAGTCCTTGACATCCCGCACAAATGCGGTGAACTGTTCCTTGTGAAGAGCGGCCTGTGGATCCACTACAAAATCTCCAGTAAATAGTTTCTTGATGCTCTTCCAAGCCGTTCCCAAGTCACCGTGAACCTTCCTTGGCTTATTTTTGGGGAACTGATAGGCCAGATCCAAGCCATCGAATCCGTAGGTCTTCACCAAGTCGTAGGCCGATCGGATAAATCCAATTTGACGCACTTTCTCGCCCTCCAGTAGTTCGATATATTTGTTGGGATGGTCCACATCGATGTCGTGATCACCGCCCACACTCAGCAGAACTTGCAGATGGGGATACTTCCTCTTCAAGGAGGTCACTTCGCTGAACTGATGCTTGTAGATGTCCAGGTTCTCGTTTAGACTGTAAGCCTGGAGATTTTCACCACGGATTCCCGCATAGCCATATACCAAGTGGGTGCAGAATTGTGCACCGACTTCCAGTTCCGTATTGAGCAGCTTGCCCAGGCCTGGAAAATTCGCAATTTAAATTCGGTAGATGACATATTATTAAATATGCACGAGATGTACGACAAACTGCACTCGAATGACAAATAATCCGAGGTTCAGAGAGCGTATTGTGAGACACTATCTGTGGACTGAGATCTGGACACCCAACACTCTCGCTCTAGCCGGAACTACTGGTGAGCCGCGATCGGAGGGTCGCCCCTGACCACCACCCCCTCCCGGAGACTGATCCATTGTCTCGCCGACTTCAGTGGCTTAATTGAACGCCAACAGTGTGATCCCAGCGAGCGGTTTATTGTTATTCGACTCGGGTGCGGGGCACAGTGGAGCGAGATGTGACAAATAGTGGTAGTAGCTTAATAAGTTATATAAGATTATATGTTCTAAGTTTATACTTTAAAAATAAATCTATTTTGTTCATATTTTCATCATAACCTTTCTAATCTACACGATTTTATAAAGTGTTGCCATTGATTGGAGTCTAAATAAATCCGATTTAAGAATATACCCAGAATATATTTTTAAAAAGATTGCTCATTATTTATTTTCCTTTTTGGAACTGTTCTCTGTGAACAGTTCTTCATAATTGTTTAGCGACCTATTGACCTAAAATATTGTTAAATTTTAATGACTGTAGGAAAATATTTTTTGTTTTAATGTATACTAGTCAACATTATTTAATTAATCATATTGCGAGATCTATCACAATCAACAAGGTGTTTTTTGAGGCTATTCTAAAATGCTGTTTTATGTTTGAATGGTACTGTTTTTTAATAGTATTTTCCCCATCCCCGAGTGCACTGTGCAGCGCTGCTGAGTCACTTGGTGCTCTGCTTGCCACTTGCTTGGATTGCTGCTGGTGCCAAGTCAGCGTCCGCTGGCGGAGCAGTTGTCGTGCTGGACTCGCTGTGTGTTGAACGCTCTGGTTTTCATTTCGAATGCGTGGGATCTCGGCTGTATATCGACTTAACTCGCCTAAGCTCGGATCAGAGAAGATCGAAATAATCCACTAATTGCCATATTTTGAGCTATCATTCCATAATTACTCCTCATTATTGCTGTTTGGTAAGTTAACTCTGCCCTAAATAGCTTGTTAACCCGATCTTTAGAAGCTGCCATTTATTGTTTTGTGCAGAGAAATCTCTGCGGGAGAGCCAGTCTCTGTGTATTATTTTGAAAAAAAAACTTGTCTGATAAGCCACTGACCTCTATAGAACTAGCTTAAGCTCTCTTTATCTCTCGGTCTCTCTCGCCAAACGATAATCAGTGAGCACTGAATTAAATTAAGTCCGTGTTTTGTTTTGAATGACAAATGGTTATGTAACTTGATTAGCATGCTTTTGTTTTTATTCGTTTGTAAATTTGGCACATGCTAATCAAAAGTTGTGCTAGTTTTAGGCGGTCTTTTGGAGGCTTTAAATTTTGTAATCAAGTACAATTAAGTTCATTTGTACCTTTTAAATGATTTTTCGGGGTTGTGTTTTGATTCAAATTCCAATATAATCCAATTGGGTTTTAAGAGTTATGTTAAAAGCATTTAGTTTATATGTATAAGCAAAAATAAAAATTAATAATAAATGTATAACAAATGCTTTAATAAATTTTAAATACCGTTTTCAAACGTTCTAACTAAAATGTTGAACTTTAAATTATTTCAGCTTATTATTGGTTTGTAAACAAACAAATAGTTCTGTTAAAAAATGGCTTAGGAAATAAATCACTGGTTTTATATGTAAGTCATACTTGGACTTCTGTACCTTAAACAAGTTAAGCTCGAATATGAATTTTAAGCATTCGAGTATATTACAAGTTTCTTAGTTGGAAAACACTAATAAAGCGCAGGCAAATTACCAGTAAAACTATTAATATTAATTTTAAAAAAAGAAGTTAAATTGAATTTTTAAAAAAAAATTTTACAACTTCTTTATATTTCTTGAAATTCCATTAAAATGTAAAAACCAATAGACCTAATAGTGTACTTGATTCAGCTTTACTACAGCTCTCGTTTTATTGTTTTTTTTTTACCACCTTCTCATATTTAATTTATCAATAATTCCGACTTCCCCACTCACCTTCTCTCGTGTAACTCGAAGAGTCGTAGTAGCAGACTAAATTGGAGGCGGTTTCTGCACTCGCCGCAAAGAGACACGCGACAAACGTAAACGAGATCCAGGCATTCATGGTGCCGGGGATATATCTCTATAAACACAACCGCAATGCAGATCAAATGAAATCGAACTGAGGCTGAAATCGAAATGAAAACCGAAACCGACGACAAAAAGCTTGAGCAGAGCTTTAGGTTGGTGGGGAATTCGGGGACAAGAGACCAGAGTCGAGCTCAAACCAAGCTCACTGCTGGCTTACTTATTCGCGCAATGACTTAATTGTGTACACACAAGTTAATGACGACGATTGCGACGAGGCAGACGCAGGGTCAAGACTTTGGGACCTCCAAAAACAAAAATCAAGCAATTAATCTTAAAACATTGAAACGCGCTTGCTGATTAGAATTGAAAATAAGTTTTTCAGATTTATTTCGTAAGTAAATATAGAACATAATGCGGTGGAAATACCCGTCATTTACATATTTATGTTTATCGCCCGCGCTTTAAAAATACGTTTTTGTTTTGCAAATCGGAAGTGATGGGAATACGTAAACTGAAAAAAAGGGGGACTTACCTCAAATTTATAGATACAATTATATTTTAAATCGTATTGTGATTTTTAATTATTTATGTTATTACAATGCAAAAACTGTACAATTTGAATTATTCATTTCGATTTTTAAATTAATCGAATGCATTGTTTTCCTACCACTATTCGAAAACAAGATATTGGTTTGTTTAGCCAAATAATATGTACCCAAAAATAAATTCTATTTATCAATCCAATTATAAAAACTATTAAGTAATTGCGATAGAACCCAGTAAATGAGTACCCAAATACAAATTCTAATTATTAATCCAATTATAAAAACTTTTAAGTAATTTCGATAGAACCCAGTTCTTGTATTTAACTAATATGTGTACATTTTATTTTAAAATATAATATCAGCCTATAGCAGTAACAAAAAAATATTCTATCCCATGTAGTATTTTATAGATCGCACGATTGGGAATTTCTGGCCAGTGCAAAGTCCCTGGAAATCATCGTATCCCAGATCGAATACGGCGATTCCTCCGAGACCTTTTCCTTTGGCATATCCTGCCTTAACTCCGGCGAAATCAGGATCATCGAAGCTCACCCAGATGCCATAATCTCCGTTCTCGTCCGCCGGACGTAGGGCATAGTTGCCGTTTTTCTGGGTGATATCTGTGACCTTGCGAAGCGGTGCCTTTTCCCCTCTATATTGGGCTGATGAATTCTGCGACAACTGTGAGCAAATCTCTGGCCAACTGAGTAAACCCTCAGAGCTGGCTATGTCCACACCTCCGGGAGCAGGTCCACATGTCTCTTTAACAACTGGAAGTCCACTCAGACCCGAGGCTTTGGTCAGTTTCCAGGCCCTTCCATAACTAGCTACTCCCAAGTTTAACTTCTGGGCAGGACAATGATTCTGCAGCCAGTAATTAATCTGGAACTCCACATTTAAGTGAGGCAAGCGATCCTTCTCGTCTAGGAAGTAAATCGGAGAGGTGAAATCGGCTTCCTCGGGATTTCGCAAAGGGGTGTTGAAGTCGAAAGCAGCCACGTTGATATAATCAAACTGATAATGCAGTTTCGGAACATCAAAGTACCCTGAAAAATGTGCATTTAAAATGTGATTAGTTTTATGCAACAAAAATAGCATGTTGTTATATTTATATTTTTGTTTTCGTATTCCAAAACAGCCATGTACTTTTTTATAAAAATTTATTGAATGACCAAAAATTAAGGCTGAAACATCTATACTTACAAGTAGAATTCACATTGGGCAGAACAGTTAGAGAAAGCATTAGATTAGCAGTGCGGAATGCGCTCTTCAAATTCCCCACAAGATCGGTGAACTGTGACTTGTGTTGTTCCGCGTGGGGATCCACAATAAAGTCACCAGTAAATAATTTTTTAAATGACTTCCAATAAGTTCCAATAGAGCCGTGCACTTTCCTGGGCTTGTTGCGGGGCAACTGGAAGGCGAGATCGAGGCCATCAAATCCATTTCTCCTCAACATAATCATGCTGCTATCTATAAAATTTTGCTGGGCAGTGCGATTCGCCTCCAGAAGCTCTATATATTTATTCGGGTGCGCCTCGTCCACATCGTGATCACCACCCACACTGAGAAGAATTTTTAGTTGAGGAAACTTCTGGTGCAGGTTCGTAATAGCCTGGTAGTGGAACATGTCCAGATCCGGATTTAAACTGAATAACTCGTGGGTTCCGGGCTTTAGACCAGCATATCCGTAAACCAAATGAGTGCAGAATTTCAGGGCCAGTTCCAAATCAATCGCATTCATTTTTGCATAACCTGCACGCAAATACGAGGCCGAATCATAGTAGCAGATCAGATTGTTGGCGGCATGGGTTAAACTTGTCACACTGAGCAGTCCCAGTAAATAAAATAAATGAAATCTCATCTTTCCGGGGAGAGTACGTCCTGACTTTATGAATGGTAATTAGCAACTGAAAACTGATTCAAAAGCTCTACACCTCGTCTGCTCTGTTTTGCTTATCTCTCTGTTTTGCCGATGATGCCATTATCAGGTTTTCAGCCATTACGTAGTTCCTTTCAATGTTTTTCTATTTTACTGCCTTTGTTTATTTTTTTTTGTCAGTCCAACAGTTTAACGAATTACCGTGACTCAACTTTAAACAGTTTTTTGTTTTCACATTTTTCACGTTTTTATTGAGTGCCTTGGAGTTTTATTTGACTTAGAATAATAATTTGTTTTTTAATAACTAGTAAGCTTTGAAAATCATAATGAGATTTTTCTGTAGTAATAAACGCAGCTTATTGATACGAATCAAGTTCATAAATCACTAGACTGTTATTAATACATTTTTCATAAAGAGTGAATCTTAAAATAAGGAAATTTTAAATACATTTTACTCAATAAAATCAAATTTATAGGACAAGTGCTTGCACAAATTTGTTTTTAAATCTATAAACGTAGTTTGAGATGTCCTATACTTGATTTTTTTAATAATAACGCTAATAATTTGTGCCAAATACTAAAAACCCAGCAACTCCGTTCACAATTAGGTATTTAATATCTCCGACACCTGGAGTTCTCATTGCTATACCGTTTTTCGTGATTCACTTCTTTTTGCGCATCATCATCGTCGTCATTAGGCTCTTGATGAAGGTGAAAGAATTTCAATTAGCTGACCCCGAAGCGATCTATAAGACCCGACACTCGAATGGAGGACAACCTGCTGGGCTGCGGAATCTTCAGCAGCTGTTTTGGGTCCGCGGGGAGGCACTTAAATCAGGAAACAATCGAAGCATTAAATACCCCAAACAAAGGGGCGAAAGATGTACCTTGGGCAGAAGTCGAAATGGGACAGCTAATGACAACAGTCACAACAAAGCGATGGGAATGGATCTGATCTGATCCGATGGGTCGGATGTACTCTCGTATGTGACACAACCAATTAGACAAAAGGACGTGGCGGGTCCTTGCAGAAGAATGCGAAATAATCCTCACACGCTGCTTAGCGTTGACAATGAAAACCCGGAAAATAAGGGGGCGGGCCTGAAAGGCGTGTTCGTGTTGAGAGGCGGCATTATCCTCGTCGAATGTCCTCGAATCTGTGTGTCTTATCCGCAGCCATATCTGTATCTGTGTCTCGCATTGTTGTTTGATTTATATCGGAGGCCCGACTCATCATCATCTCATTGTTTGCCCACACCCTCCCCTTCTATATCTCCACCATATCATTGTGCCTCAGATAAAACCAACCACTGCTGACCTTTACCCATGTCCACTGTGTATTAGCCACAGATCCACATTTCCATTTACCAACTATTTGCTTTGGTCTTTTTGGGTCGTTTTGGGCTAGTTTCGATATCATCAATCAGTCAATCATTGCTGGGCAAATAGAAATCAATGCCAAATAGCTTAATGTGTGAATTAATGTGCTATATTGGCAGATTGTATTACATTTATGAGCTTTGTTGTTTGACTTTCATTTTAGTGTTTAATAAAACTTTAATAGTTTATGAACAGAATTAGGGAAAATACTACGAAATTGGGTTCTGAAATATAAGTCCATAAAATAAAGTAAATAAAATAAAACATTTTCATATTATTAGTATTTCATTGCTTTTTTGGAATTCTCCTGGCGATACCTACAGCACAAGTCACAAACAATTTAATTTAAGTAATTTAAAACCCGTTACAAGACAATTGTAAATAATCTAAAGCTTTAAATGTTCACTTTGTCAAAACCCTTGAGCCTTTCCCATATTTATATTTACCTCCCTTTCAAGGAAAAACTTGAAATTGTTTTCCATTATTGCTCATTCTTTGGCTAAATTAAGTCCAATAATAATTTAAACAAATACCTTTGCCACCCCCAGGCTCACCTTCAACCTCATTATCTCAGGCAGCAGGTGCAGAAAACCGCAAAACATTTGCCTTATTTCATATTTCTAATTAGACAGCCGACGCTTTTCCAAAGTTTTTGTAACCGGGCAGACAATGCAATGCCCGGAAGTACAGAGGAAAATTCAATTTTCACAAAACAATTGCCATTAGGCGATGGTTTTCCTGCGCCGCCAGGAAAGACGAGTGTTCAGCCCAATTGATGTGCCTAATCAGTTTATCTAAAGCATTTTTTTATGCCGTCCTTCTGAGGGTTGCTGGCCAACAGGAAATTCATCATTGTCAAATATGCGGCTTGACATTTTCTAAAAGGGGGCTTGGAAAAAATGTAAACTTTTTTGAGGCAACTTTTAGCTTTTTTTTCGGAGGGTTGCCTTTGGCGGGCAATATAATTAGAAATTCATAATGAATTTTATTTGCTTTGGCCACAGAGCAAAAAAAGTGGAAAAAACGGATAGAAAACAACACGAGGCAACGTCGCCTTGTCCAAATGTATTTTTTCGGTGATATTGACGCGCATTTTTGTGCAAATAAAATTAAAGCGCCCCCATGCCATCCTCGCCCTTATGAACCCACCGCATAAACAGACCGAGCCATATCAAATTATCAGCCAAGGGCTGGGCAGTAGTCAGTCATTCAGTCAGTCAGTCAGTCAATCAGTCAGTCCATCATTCGGGAATTCTGGGTCGAGCCTTGGATTTTAATTTTTTGGGGGAGGTGTTTTGGTCTGGGGGATCTGGGGGTGTTAATGCGGCGTGCAGGTATCAAAGCGACGTTTGAAAAATGAAATTAAAAATGGTTGTTGATTTTAGCGCAAAAAGAAATGGATAAAGCGACAAAAATAGCTAAAGAATAAGGATAAAATTAAAGGCGATTGTGATATACACTTCTGGTTGTCATAAAAACTATTTAATATTATAAAAATAATAATAAGATCTTTTAAATATAATACTTGTGCATCCTTTTCCCCAAACAGGGTATATAACAAATATAACGGAAAATGGTATTTAAAAGACAAACTTTACCACGTAGTCCGAAAACTCTTATCCTAACTGCTGTTATAGAGTGCACCCCAAGAATAATATAGCTCGCCTAGAATTCTAATTTTTTAATGAGTCAAAGAGCTCTTCTTGGGCTATCCATGTCTGTGGAGGGGTTGGAGGTTCATACCAAGGAGTCAGTCAGTCCCGAAATCCCCCTGACGATTCTCTGAACTGTCCATTCATTAGGTAAAGACATTTTGTTGCTGTCTTCATTAGAGTCCGGCATCAAAGTAAGTTTGGAATTTATCTATCTTTCAGCTAGGGTTTCCTGCTTGTTGCCAGGTCCGGAAATTGCTTTGGTTTTTGCGGATGACTACTTGGCGCCACATGTCACCAATACAGAAAAAAAAGGGCAGGACCTTGAAGGACTTCTCTTTGGCAGCAGAATGACCTTCGGTGTGTTGCTCATATTCATTATAAGCCCAAATAACTGTTGTCGTTGAGTGGCAAGTGTCAAAATACCATGGCCCAAAAGGATTGTTACCATCGCACGTCGGTTCCCCGGGTTCCTCTCCTCGATGGCGTCTTCTGGTTTTCTGCTCAATTTGTTCTGGCGTCGATTTGGCAAGCTTTCCCCCTTTCCCCCAGATTGCCTGATTTTTCCCTTTTGTGGGCTCGAGTTACCATTTGCAGCTAACTGACTGCTTATTGGCCCGGCTTTTGGTTGGCCACTTGGCCCGGCTCATGTGATTTACCAGGGCCCTGCTGCTCAAGTGTCAGCAGAAGCTGAAGGGAAACCTTAGTGGCGACTGGCGACAGTTGGCCCTGGCTCAGTATTAAGCCTCATTTCTGGCCAATTCTGCCCTACACTTTCTGATAACTGTTGCCGTAAATCAATATCGACGCTTTGTGGTCAATCAAAATGCGTTTTCTCGTAGCTGTGCAGTTGGTGTTTATATTGGGAAGATTTTGTGTCGAAGAAAGAAGGCATAAGTTATGATAAAATCATATTTGTAGTTTAAGGTTTTATTTAACTTTTTAGTTTTTACTCATAGGAGTTGATCCTATTTTATTCAATTTGTTGATTAGCTTGCAAGAGTTTGGGTTAATTTGTACGTTAATTAAGACTTAAGTATTACTTCATATTAATTGGTTCGCTTTTCGAAATTTTTGTTTTTAACCTGATCATTTAATATTTTAATCCGATTTGAGCTTGGTTTTCCAGGCTGTTTGGCAACAATTTAAATTTTTTCTTTGCAGTGAAAACAATCGTTAATTAATTTTGTATTATATATGAAATGCCGTTAAAGACAAAAGAAAGTCGTTGTGGCATTAAATCATTGAAAAATAACATCAAAATCGAATGACAACAACAATGTCATAAATAATAATTAATGCCACTTAACGTACACTCACAACCACACTCAAGTAGAAGTGCGAAAAAGTTAATATAAATAAAAATTAAAATCAGAAAATAAATTTCGGCAGAGAGGGATACAAAAAAGACAGACAGTTGGCCATAAAAATGGTTTATAAGTCCATAAAAACCAATTGTTTGCATTGTCCGTAATTGCATTAAAAAACCCAGAGCCATGTGGACACTCCAATAAATATTGATGGGGAATTGGGAAAAAATCAGAAATCGAAGCGTATGCATTTTTAATTTCAGAATTAACGTGGCATATAGAATGTAATTAAAACAGAATCTGATTAAATAAAAACAAATTAAGTGGTTTGTAAATAAATTGAAAAGCAAGTGGGTAAGCATAAAAACAAGTAAATAAATTTGCGGCTTTTGTTATTGTTACATAAACTGTACTTGCTATTTTTTATTGCCTTTGATCACAAACAATACATTAATAACATAAACCAACGTTTAATAATATAAAACAGAGCCGCCTGCAAATATCGGTTTAATAGAAGCGGAATCCTGTTTCATTCATTTGAATTTACTCTCGACTTTTGCAACTACGGAAATCTTTTCTGAGAAGCCCAAAATAAAATGCCAACTTTTACTTAAGGCTAAAGTTAAAATAATATTGTGACAAGACCCATTCTTCAAGTCTGGGGT